TTATACTAACAATTTATTTTTTAATTTCATTTATTTATTGTTTTATAATGTGTATAATATAGTTAATATATGTAAATATAAATAATATTCTATGTCTATATCTACAATATTTATTTCAAAATGAAACGTATAATTAATAACTTAATACATACAAACCGACCGACCGAAAGACATCAAGAAATATATAACACAATTTTAGGAGTAGGTATGAAGTTATCAATCAGATGAGGTTTACTTATAAATGAAAGGTTTTTTTAAGGTCTCTAGATGATCAGTCATCGTTGTCTAAAGAAAAAGATGGCTAATGCTCTCGTATTGGACGGACAAATTTTTATATTGAAAATATATTTTATATGCGTCCACAACGTCGAAGATCGGTGTAAAAATAACCGTATTATGCAGTGTAATAAAAATCAAAATCAGAAAGTTAATAATTTACAGCATTATTGAAGATATTGAGACAATTTCTACTGCAATCTGTTACTAAGCTGTTATGAGTTCCGGTTTTTTGGGTGTGCCAGACAAATTACATTGCCATAATTCATATACATAATATGTACTTCGACTCCTGTTTCAAGTTGTGTGGCGGCATTTGCGCTGAGATATCAGATTGACTATGTTTTTCCAATTCAATATGGTGTTTGTTTCATTCCAAAATCTATTTACGATGTTTGTCTAATAATATTATGTTCAAGGTTCTAGTTGAAACAGAAGATTGATTTAAAATTCTTCTAATTTCTAAAAAAGAAATATTTTTGATTACTTTAAAATGGTTAACCACAAGCATTTTAGAAACTGATACATATTTATTTAATTTTTAACTGACTTCAAATGCACCTGTTTGTGTGTGTTATTGTTGAACCTTTTTTAGGTGAACCGATTTTGAAGATTCCTTTTTTATCTTGATAATCCTAATAAATTTCGACTAGTTGACATTGATAAAATTTTGATTTTACTTTTTTGAGGTAGTCTTTCCTTTTTGTTAAACTTTTCTATTATTAAAATTGAAATATAGCCTTGGATCAATTGAACGTTTTTTACTAATTTTTACGTACATAACGTTTATTACTAATGTTTTGAAATGTTAATGAGACCAGATTTGAAGGGGAATCTTTAACGCTAGGCAATGGCTTGGCTGTTCCGCTGACTTTATTAATTTCCATGAGCGACTCAGCTGCTTTTTTACCTAAAGTACATAGCTTATAATCACTCTATACAGCAATAAAGTCAAAAACAATCAGAATATATTTTTATAAATTTCATCGATCATTAGCAGCTGGTTGTTTCCAATCCTCGTTTAAAGAAGGAATTCTTGAAACAATGGATAAAAAAATCAGCTAATAAAATAATAAAACTATATCCAATAAGCGTTGCAATAAATAAACCCTAGACTAGTTTCCATGCTCAGAATGAAATGTTAGAATTGCTTTATCTCGCCCCCGGGAGCATGTAACATTTTACAGAGCCTTTACTTCACGGCATCAGCTACTGTCCGCTTCGAGAATGACGTAAGTACCGTCTATGATATTTTAGGCTAATAATTTTAAAGGGTCATAATTATTTGGTGTTATTATTTCATTTTACTATTTCCGATTTTTCGAATAGTCGTTAAGCAGATACAATTTTCGTGGTCATGGGCGATTGAGGTACCTTCACTAGGTTCATTCATAGTAATTCACCGAAATTTTAATATTTTGTCAAGTACTGCCTAATTTTTTATAAAAGTTGTTATAGTTGATTTAATCATGGCAACGATACGGCACGGGGCTCTGTATTTTCTGTTAATTGAAGAATGAACACCAGAATGGGTTAATATTATGTAAGAACATCTGTCGGAGGCGAGTTTGGATGTAACTTTAATGATGAGTGGATAGATTGGCAGTGCAGGATTTCACATCTTATGTGATCAGATCATATTAGATACCATTCTATAATTAAATTCTATCGTTTCAAATATTCAAAGTAATTCGTAACTTTTTTTATTACATTAGTAATACAGTAATGGTCTTATGCCTGGATCTCGTGGTATCAGGCATCGGAGTCCACGCACATCACAGCAGCAAAAGTTCTCATTTTCGTAATTTCTGGTAGTAGGACATCATCACGCTGGTAGGTATCGTCGGCCTGCCTATATCTGCCGTGAAATAGTAATGCTTTTCAATTTGATAGTTCGGTAAAAACTGAGAAACCATGTCTCATGGTGAGTGGTGGAATTTGCGTTGTTGTTGTCTGTGGGATCCGCTAACCACTTAATACCACTACCACTACTAATACAACTTAACCATGGTGAGGTCGTCAAGGAATAGAAAAAAAAATTTAATAGCGATCATATCCATTTTTCCTAATCCAAATCAAACTTTTAAAAAATGTTTCATGTTTGACATCCATAATGATGTAATAAAACAGTGTAATACGAGCAGATAATATCAGCATATCTTATCCGATCGCGACGGGGCAACGCAAAGCCGGATAAGATTCACTCTCGGTGCTTTTAGGCTTCACCGGTCACCATCCTCGTCGAACTCGTCGGTGACGACGAAGAGATCGACGAGCGAACTAACCTATAGACACAGCCCACTGAGTTTCTCGCCGCCGGAACTTCTCAGTGGCTCACGATTCCAGTCCAGAGGTAGATTCTGCGAAGCACTACTCTTGTTAGGGCTAGTGTTAGCAAATTTTCTCAGGTTGATCCCGTGAGCTCACCTTAGCTCAAATAGCTGCTTAGGCTACCACCGGATAGGTTATGGAAAAAAAATTGGATGAAACACCGGATAGAAACGAAGTTCCTTATTTTAAAAATATTAATTTTAAGTTCTATTCGAGGTATAAAGAAAATAGTTATTCGGGTATACATTTTTTATTCATAATTTTTTTATTGCTTAAAATAAATAAATAAATATGTCATTTTTTGTGCGTTATTACAAAGTTAAGTCGTACACTGTGTGCATTACTAATAAAAATCTTACGTTACCGAGCTTTTTTCCCAGTTAGGGTACCCCTCCGCATCGTCCCATAAGGAACTTCGTTCCAAAAAAAAAAGAAAAACATGAGCTCTAAAGCAATCAAAAAAACCTTTTGAAATTACATTTTTTCAATCCACAAATGACCGTTGGTCGCATACAACGTTCTCGATTCAAACACAATCCACAATTAAGAGTTAATACAACTAAGTTAGGATGTACTATGCAAATGAGTGTCAGGTTCGCGTGTACGCCGCCTACTCACGGCCCGGTTCAATATATAAAATTGCAATAAAGTACCATGAATAACGATTAAGTAATCGCTGCATGTGCCACGGAGTGACACGGTTACTTGCATTTTACCATGTCTTATTTATTAACTTGTAAAATTACGGTCGACGAAGAAGTCCCATTTGATACGCAAACGCTTGATCCTTGTTCATAAAACTGACAGTCTTAAATGCGGCTCATTATAATCTGGATGAGGAACAAGACTAAGTCATAGGGCACGATATCGCAGTCCCAAAAAGGCTCTTACATCCTTAAAGCTGGGAGGTGTGACTGTTTCAGAGCAGAATAAAAAGTATAATGAACTTCAATATTATTATGTTCTCACAGTACACGAGTGTGTATACCATTAATTTGGCACGTTTGATTATATTACACAAATAGGATATGTCGTTTAAAAAAATTTTTTTATTGTTTTTTATTGCTTAGATTGGTGAACGAGCTCACTGCCCACCTGGTTTTATGTAGTTACTGGTTACCTACAACGTAAATGTGCCACCCACCTTGAGATATGAATTCTAAGGTCTTAGTATTGTTATTATGAAAAATATGTCTAAATAGCAAACCTAACAAACAATTTTATACATTTTATATCCTGTTAATACCGGTCAGGATATAAAAGCGAAGTTATAAAATTGTTGCATTGTCGACGACAAATCGGACGTTTTGAAGTCGATGATAAGGACGTTAAAAAATTCCGTTACATAGAAATGAAAATACACACATACATATGTACCAAGCTTAGTAAAGCGTGCTAAAATTTCCAATTTTTCTGTCTGGCTGTCTGACTCTTCTTCAGTTTTTGAACTTATAGGTCGCATCACTCGATACGAGGACAAAGGCTTTGATACCCTTTAGGCTACGGACACTTTCAGGTTTGTAGATGGCTCACCTGGTGTTAAGCTATCAATCAGCAGTTTACGCAGAAGGAAATTGTCGAATGTCAAAAAGAAAACATCTAGTTTGTGTAAATGAAAATCAATTTATTCCGATGCTTATTTTAAAAGTAGATGATATAATTTGTATAAATTATTAATTTTACAAATATATACACACGTTCGGACGGAGTTCAATCACAATATACATACGCAATGTAAGTACATAGCCCTGGTGAAAATACATATTATATACATAGAAGCCCCAATGAATAAATATATCTCTTAGTATATACGCATCAACTGATCATTTTGAAAATTAAAACTTAAATGAAACTTGAATTAATTGGTTTCTGGACATGAAGTTTTTACTAGTACATATTTTATGTTGCGATAATTTTTATACAAATATCATCCATGATAATCGTAATGACAGTTGAGTCAGAGCTGCGTATAGCTGAATAGCAGTCTACGCAAACAAAGCAATTCAACTTAATATCTAAAGTATTTCATAATATCATTCATGACGTTTTTGAAATAATTCACATGTTTAACAGGAGTATTAAAATAACCTGTTTTATCATATTGCCAACTTATAACACCAATCACCACCTAATATTCCAACAACTCCAAATGCTTAGTGACGATACCAACCATATTACCTATTATTAACTTCATTCATTAGAAAACTTTGATAACTCTAACAAAAACATATTGAGCTCTGTACATCCGTATATGAAAATAAATATATATGTATATAATGAAATAAAGAGACTCAATTTAAATTCTATCCAAAGTCTGATTTGTTCTCTTTTATTATATTATATTATTCGTTTTTATTTATTATATTTTATTATATTATATTATTCACTCTGACTCTCGATACTACATTTTTACCATTTGCTATTTACTCAATGGAGTAAATTTATCAACGAGATTTACATCAGGTCCGCCACTCAAAAAACGAATAATATTAATTCAGTGAATACAATCTAAATTCACCAAAAAATCACTAGGTAGTAATTATGAAAGTGATCATTTTGTGAATTTTTATTTTGATAAATATCCACAAAATTACGATCTACTTATTCCACAGAAATATAAATTTGTTCAGATTGATTCACCCCAAAAGGTCTAAAAGTCCTCATTAGAAGAAAATCTAATACTTATCTCAATTTTCATAAAAATTAATCAGGTTTATCCCCTTAATTAGTATATCATTAAGATATCGCAAGAACATAAATAATATTATAAGTTAACGCTTACATTAATAATTAAGTACTAATATCACATTTTATATAATTCGTTATTAAATTATTCGTTTATTATTTACAGACTTTTCATGATATGTATAATGTATTTATGATTTTGTAATTCAAGTTGCGTCCCTGGCACTGTTCCTTTGATGTTTCGCTGTAAAAAAAGAGAAAAAAACCTTTAAATAATCTACCTGCATTGAAATTTCAAGAAAGTCAGACTAGCATCAAAAACGATTTTTTTTTTCCTAGATAAGGCGACGACATTCAACCCACCTGGTGGTGGGTTGTTACCAGAGCCTACAGCACAATATGAATGCCGCCACTGACTGACTGCCTACATGCTTCATACCGAAGCGAATTACAGCGTCGCGGCAAAATAGGCATGGTGGGGGCAGGCTCACAATTTACCCTTTGTCTTTGGATTTTTAATACCGGTATTTCGTTTTGGAACTAAAAATCTTGCGCATACCTTCAACTGTTTATTCTTGACGATATCTAAACGAACCCAGTGCGCTTGGTGCTAAACCGATCAGTTGCATACATTATGCTCTTTATTTATTTATTTTTTGCAAAGATGGGTGGACGAGCTCACAGCCCACCTGGTGTTAAGTGGTTACCGGAGCTCATAGACATCTACAACGTAAATGCCACCACCCACCTTGAGATATGAGTTCTAAGGTCTCAGTATAGTTACAACGGCTGCCACACCCTCCAAACCGAAACGCATCACTGCTTCACGGCAGCGTGGTGATACCCCTTGCGAACTCACAAGAGGTCCTATCATCAGTAATAGTAAAAAACAAATCTTTCCCTGTTATACTGTGATATAAATATAATTACAGTGCACTTGCCTATTTCAGCCGTCTATTACAATTCAACTGACACATCGCCTTCCATTGTGGCAGCATTGATGGTACGTATTGCTTATGAGGTAAATACCGTTACAGCAGTCGAACTGTGAGCTAGACTTCCGAGACATACTGTTTATATTTAATACTAGCTGTATCCGTCCGCTTCACTGGGCATTTAAAATTAACATTATTATTTCTCACCCACACAAAGATTATCGTCATTAACGCCCCGCAACTGGTGTAGGGAGTCCAACACTCATATAAATATTAGCCTATCCATTAAGTACGTGTATTTTCTACACGGATACCAAGTTTCAAGTCAATCGGATGCACGGTTCTGTAGTTATAACGGAACATCCGTAAAAACCACTGTTGATTCATATATTAGTATACCTAGATTATATAAAATACACAAAACTCACCGGTATGAAGGAACAAATGGTTCTTCAAGTTGGTGTGCTTCGAGAATCCTCTAGAACAAATGTGACATTTGTAGGGCCAGGATCCGCTGTGGACGTACATGTGCGACTTGAGGTCCCCCGGGGTAGGGAACGACTTGGAGCAGAGCGTGCATTTATGAGGTTTCTCCTGGGAATGAAAACAAAAGCTATTGGATCGAATTCAATTGTAGTCATTTTTACTGGTGGTAGGACTTCTTCTGAGTCCGCAAGGGTAGGTACCACTACCCTGCCTATTTTTGCCGTAAAGCAGTAATACGTTTCAATTTGAAGGGTAGGGCAGCCGCTGTAGCTATACTTGAGACCTTTGAACTTATATCTCAAGATGGGTGGCGCATTTACGTCGTAGATGATTGTGGGCGGTAATCACTTAACACCAGGTGGGCTATGAGCTCGTCCACACATCTAAGCAATTAAAAAAAAAAGTTAACGATTGTGTTAAGCTGAATAGTGATTTACGTTCGAATATAGTAGGTTGAATTTCTATTCTTTTAAGGATGTAATTTAGAACATTGCAAGAACATATCGACGCTTGAAAGGCAAACGTGACTAAGCGACAATTCGTGAACTTTACAGTAGACTAATTTAAAGTTGAAATACCTGAAATAAATTCTATTTTAACAAATCTAGCTGTAGGATTGAAATGATTTTAATAGACCTAGAAATATATATTTTTTGCGCATCGAATATGGTTATTGCTTATCATTATTTACCTATGTACAAAGCAGTTATTGTCGCTTAGTCACGTTTGCCTTTCAAGCGTCGATATTGATCTACCAATTTGAAAAAAAAAAGATATTATGTATTTATAAACTTTTGTGCTCACACATAGCAAGGTTAACGTATGCTGTAGATATAATCAGACACAATATAGTCGTTTGTTCGTATTTTGAGAACCAAATGTATAAACTTATAAATTAATAACAAATAAACAAAACTTAACCATTTAAATTATTTATATCTATGTAACGTATCGTTATGCAAAAGATTTTTGTGTGCAAAGAAAAAAGAAGTAAAAATCTAAAAGTATTGTGCTGTAAAATTTAAGATACTATTATAGTGCTAGATACTTTATATTCTGTACTCAGTTTTGGAAGCAAAACAATGATAATGTTGAAAGTTCTTCCCACTGGTAAATTTCTGAGTTTTATTTGCCTGTGTATTTCAGAATATATTTATAATAAATAATAATAAATATTTACTAACAGTCAGGTCACGTTAACTGGTCCCGTGATAAGTTCGTAAAGAACTTGTGTTACAGCTACCAGATAACGGAAATAAATGTAAGATTTTTATTATACACATACACATATTTAATATACATCCATAACCCTGGAAAAGACATTTATATTTATCATAGAAATATCTTCCCTTGGCGGGATTCGAACCCGCGACCCCCTTGTGTAGTGACCATGTCACTTACCACTGCACCAGACGGCCGTTAAATATATAATATAATTTATATAAGTCATTACTGTAAAAAATCCGTAGGACAAGGATAGAAAGAAATGATCCAATGAAACATGTGTACATATTGGGTATTCGTGTAGTATGAAGTTAAAAATGTTATTACAAATTACTTTACAGATATATAGCAATAACAGAACTTATAGTATCTAGGATTAAGGTATACAGGTTCCATTAATGAGAATGGTAGCATCATATACCAGACATCACGACGGCTAAATTTGATTTTGGACAGAATTTTATTTTATTTTATTTTAACGGATATCGGGTCATTCGGTAATGGAATAAATCGTTATGGATCGTAATGGTGATATAGGTATATATATATATATATATATATATATAGTCAAACCTGGGTAAGTGAGAACTGGATAAGTGAGAAAACTCTATAAGTGAGAGTAATAGACAGGACCCGTCATTTTAAGCTCCCAAAACCTCTATTAGCGAGAAACAGAAACCTCTTTAAGAGAGAGTCGTTTTTCCCTCATGGACCTCCGTAAGTGAGACTGCTACTTATCTATACCTCTATAAACGACAGTCGAGCTTTATTTATTTATATTATTTAGGAAGAACAAATGACAAAACAAATTACAAATTTAACATCTGCTATTTTATGACTCATTCTTGACTTTCGTGGAAGTTCCTACCATTGTTTTTGTATTGTTTTCTCGTCAATATTGAACCTGTTCTATTTGGTGGAACTAAATAACGTTGTTATTTTATCGCATTCTTTTCGAGTGGACACGTGTGCCTCTGTACCGTCCTGTTTGTCGGACTTACTCAGTTTATCGTTAATCAATTGCGAAGGAACGTTCTGTTCTGCATCATGTCAAAACGGAAAATTAAAATACTGTCATTAAGTGATTTACTTAAAATAATGAACGCCTTTGAAACCGGAAAATCGCGAAATGAAATTTACAGGGAGCATTAGCGAGAAACTCGGGTTAGTGAGAAACCTCTATAAGCGAGAATGAGATTGTGGTCCCTTGAACTCTCGCTTATCCAGGTTTGACTGTATATATATACAAGACATAGCCCGTGATTTCACAATCACATTTGTTACTCACAAAGAATGAAACATGTTACATTATCTAGAGATAAATGTGCTCAATAATTTTAAATTTCAAATCTAATTACTGAAAACGAAATTAAACAATGCTATTGCCGATGCATAGTTTCAATATTTTAAAGCCCGCAATGTATTCTAGATTTCGGGATAACACCGGATACATCCGCTAACTTCATGAATTCACAGTTGATTCACTTGTGAATTTCATACGCGAAGGATTCACAAATTAATTGACTGTAAATGATGTATTGTTTTTCATTCATTTTAAAGGTTCATTCTTCATGGACTTAATTTCTTGGCTCTCTACATTGTATATTAAAATCAGTCGACAAAACATTTCTTCCGAATACCGTGACCCCCAAACAACGAAGACGGTTAAAACGAAACATACCCGCTGATGAGGCGTAAAACAGTAAACATAACAAATTGAATTCACCATAACGTCGTTTCCTTGCGGCTTCCCATGTATCCAAATGAGAATTTAAGTTAAAACGAAATAACTTCATGGAATCATTTGCGGGGCACACGAGTATTCAATTTCGGTCATTAGTGATGTGCATTCTTTAGTTTTTGTTCGTTTTAAAGGTCATAATCACGCGGGCTCAAGACATTTTGACTCAGGTGCGATGCTCTTCGGTTATTATGATGACGATACCAGCATACAGTTTTTTTTCTGTACGAGCAAGTTGTAGAAATCAATATACGTTTACGAGTGACTTTTATAATTTATTTTTTTATTGCTTAGATGTGTGGACATGCTCACAACCCACCTGGTGTTAAGTGGTTACTGGAGCCCATAGACATCTACAACGTAAATACGTCACACACCTTGAGATATAAGTTCTAAGGTCTCGGTATAGTAACGGCTGCCCCACCCTTCAAACCGAAACGCATTACTGCTTCACGGCAGAAATAGGCGGGGCGGTGGTACCTACCCGTGCAGACTCACAAGAGGTCCTACCACCACTAAATAATGAAGTAATAATACACTGTTACTAAAGAATAATACTCCTATTACTACAGGATATTATTATTCGTATGAAAACGTCCACTATTGATCATAGGTCTCTCCCATGTTTCTTTCCATGGGCCCGTGCTAAGCGTTGAGCTAATTCCTACGACCTTCACCAGAGCTACCGCGTATAAGGTCTGCCCATACTTCGCGCCTTTTGATGCGCGGTCCCTATTCGAGATTTATTTGATCCTGGGAGGTAGATCAAAGAATTAACACACTGAATGTAACATTATTATGGTATTTCAACGAAATTATTTGTGTACAAACTCAGGGCAAGTCGTGTGCGTAATTATTTTTATCACGAGAAATTAATCAAAGACAAGATTACGTGTAAGTGTAATTGGCGATATTTTTTCTCTAAAATGGAAATGAAAATTTGTTATTTATCTTGAAATAAGCAATAGTTTCAATGTCACGTATTGGTTTCAAGTTTGGACATATTATAAAAATCTCTCTGCAATTGGTCCTTTCTATTAGTTGCAACTATAATCTCATAATTGTCTTGAAGCTTGAAAACGATTTGATAAAACCAGTAAATCAAAAATTAATGCCGGCTTTAATTTTAATTTCTCGTTTAATCACTAATTACTTTTCTATGTTGTAGGTGTGTCAATTTCGTTTTTAATTTCCTGTAAAAAAGTCAATATTAATTGTGAAAACAAAAAAACTCAATCATGACCATTCTATTCATTTATATTCCCTTTGCGAGTCGCTTATAACTTATTGCATCCCTATTTGGGGATGTGCCTGCAAGACAAAGTTTATTAATATCGAACGAGCGCAAAGGGCAGTGCTTAAGGTGATGCTGGGGAAGCCTTTTGGGTTCTCTACTAGACAACTGTATCGTGACGCAGGAGTGCTGACGGTTAGACAACTGTTTATCCACAGGTCCGTTCTGCGACAGCACTCCTGCCTCCCATCAATACCTAAAGAAACTTCACTTTCCACCAGGAGACGAAAACCGGCCTTTGACACTATTGCTTGTAGGACGGAATTTGCCAGACGACAGATTTATTCGTCAGGTAGCAGAATTTATAATAAAGTAAATATATCTCAGCAGATAGATGGCTTAAATAGGTATGACGTTAAAAATAATCTGAAGTCTTGGCTCTTAAACTTAGACTATTTTGACACAGAACAAGTCGTGTTNAGAAGAGAGGGCCCTATGGTCGTCGGGTGTTTGAACCTTAATTTGAATGCCGTTCGCGAGGTTACGGGCATTCGTGAAATTTATATTTTTGGCCTTAAGGGCCAGGCAAACTCGATCCCAAGCTGCCTTCTCCTGAAGGATAACCGGGGGAGGGGTCTGGGTTTTATTTTGTGCCACCGGACGCGGCGACGGAGTGGCACGGGCTGGGCTCATAAAATCTGTGACTCACTCCAACATAAATGATTGCTCTCACTCTGCGAAACATCGTGCCACATGGCGTCGCATCGCGAGAGTATCGGTATCGCAGGATCCGACTGATGCATGACCACGACCACTCTGTCAAGAGTGTACGAATTGGAAATGAATAATGTTTTTCGTTTATTTTAAAGGTTCATTCCTCATCGACATAGTTCCTTGGCACTCTACGTC